GAAAAATGATAAAAGAGATTTATATACTGGCCTCATTACCACTAGGATACTTTCACAGTTATCACATCAAATGAATTTCATTTTTCAAAAATTACGAAATTCATATATTTTCAGAAATTAATTTAGATTCTGATGACTAGGTTGAAGTAGACTTATACACACGATTCCAAAATTTGCGTATTTGCGTACGTCAATTTTGATCGTGCGGCCATGTTTAATACTGAAGAAGTTGACCCAGTGACACATCGAATGTTTAAGAAGCAAAGATTCATTTGTATGTTTGAAATATCAAAGTTGATACTGGGTCGAACGTTGTATTTGGCACGTCGAAGTTATATAGATTCATTTATACAACATAACCAACGTTATACTATTAACGACGTCAAAATTTAAAATGTATATATAAGTCCTACATATTATAGGTTAATAAGATGTCTATAATAATCTATCAGAGATATAGTTGGAAATAAATGCATTATTATTTTGTAAAAGAGTTTGGATCTATATCTTAAAAAAAAAGACTTTATGGTAATTAATTTTAGTGATTAAATATATCTTTTCTTTTTGTGTATCAATATGCAATTATGTAATTTTTGCGTTGAATCACGATTTTACAATTTTGGTGGTAAATCATAATTCCAACTAAAAAATCATGATTCTAAGATTAAGTAATTTTGAATCAAATAGCATTTATCTTAGACAAAAAAAAAATCGTTTATACTATAATATCGTAATTCCAATTCAATTATTTTAGCATTCAATCATGATTGTGTAATATGGGTCTAAATTTAGCTCTTTCTTAATCTTGATCTACCAAAATTAACGTCAAATCAAAAACTTTGGGTAAAAAATGGCATGTGAATTAATAAAGAATGTTTGCTGTTTTCATGAATTTAGATGAGACCACGACATTCAGACCCTTCACTATTTGGATATAAAAATCCAAATATTTTGAAGTGTAATTCAATTAGTGTCAAGATTCAGCATTTCAAATATGATGCTTTTGTTGACTAAGTGAACATGTATGTACAGCTAAATTTTGCATCCATATGCACAAGCGAACATTAGTTCAGAAATCATTAAACTTTTGCTAATATTTGATTTATCTCATCAAATCATTATGTGTTAATAATACAACATAAATCATCACCTACAGCTTTTGTCTTTAAGAGACTCAACAACATTATACGAGAAGCAACATATTTATTATATGTAATGAAAGATCGACTAAAAATTGTAGGATCTCCACCTACAGCTTTGAATAGCATTCATTGTAACGATCAGTTTATA